TCACGAACTGTGAGATCATGACCTGAGCCAAAGTCGGACGCTCAGCCGACTGAGCCACCCAGGCACCCCATTCAAACCCTCTTTCTAAGCCTGATGGATAGTTACTAGATTGAGAAAGATTCTGGGGCTGTGCCAGGACATGTGAGAAATAGTTCTCTGATGGATTAGTGATGTCTGCCATGGGTATGGGGTAGAGGAGGGGGTGCCAGCTGCTTGTAGGCCACACACTGGCTTTCGCTGAACCAAGTGATCTCCAAGGATTTCTTAATTGTAGGCTTTGGTCACGAGGTAATGAGTGCCCCATCCCTGGATGGTCCAAGCAAGGGCTGAGTGGCCATGGGTCAGGGGTGCTGGTGCGGGGCTTACCTCTGCTTTTGGTGCCAAGATTTGGGATTTGTATGTCTTCTCAGCACACGGCGTGACAAAGGCCTTGAGAACTGAGACAGGAATTCAGTGTCATGCCTGGAGTCTGGCCTCAGGGCCTGGTAGGATGGGGTGTTGGCTTCTCTCCTAACCCTGTAGACTGGGAACTTGCTGCTTAAAGGCAGTGTGACCCTGGGCGAGTGATTTAGTCTTTCTGAGCTTCCGTTTCTTCATCTGGAAAGTGGGGGTGATAGTTATAACGTTGTGGAGGGATTAAGTGAGATAATTTGAGCTCTTAGAACCCGCCCTGGCATATAGTGAGCACTCAGGATGCATTGATCAGTGTGCTCCCACCTCGGAAGGTGCTCTGGCCAGCTCAAAGCCCGAGAGGCAGGACCCTGAGCCCCTCCCACTCTGGGCTCCCTCCACTGGCTGTTGTAGTTAGTTAGCGCTTTCTCAATATCTGAGAATGTGGGCCCAGGCCCTGTCCTCTTCCCCTCCCGGATGTCACCGAAACCTGAGGTGCCCAGAGCCTCAGGGGACTGGGCATGGGGTGTCCTGCTGCATCCGGAGGCACCTCCCGGTGACTTTTGGGCCCCACCTTTGGGTCATGTGGTAGCTGCCTCTCTAAAAGCTCCCAGCCCGGGCCCTGTCGCCTTCTGAACACACTGGGGGCCAGGAGTCTTGAGTCTGCAGACGCTGTGCCCGGCAAGGAAGTGGGCTCAAGAGACAACGGGGCTGGGACAGCTTCCCCGTCTCTCAGAGGTGTCTGGGTCTGTGCTGCCCACTGCTCCGTCTCTGCCTGCTGGACTTGCCTCGCTCCCGGCCTGCGGCGTTGAAGTCACCTTGGCTCGCTCAGGTAGCACAGCCCTTGCCTCTCTCCTGCTCCCCTCCGGGCAATGCCTGGGATCCCCACTGGCCAGCCTGGGCATCTGCCCACAGCGGTCCCAACTGTTGTCTTTACTGTCTCTTCCAAACCCACGAGTGGCTTTGTGACTTGGGACGAGTCTCAGCCTTAGCTCTTGAATCTGGGAAATGGGGAGCCGGCCTCTTTACTTGCTAAGGCCTCTTCCAGCAAAACAAATCTAATTCCATTTCTTATCTGATCTAACCATATGCATCCACTGAGCAAGAGCCAAACAGGCGTGCGTATCCTTGGTTGAGGATATTGTCCCACATTTCTTAAATCAAGTCTTTAAAGACCATAGAGCTGCGTAACCTTCTTGCCACACCTGTGTTTGTCTGCGTGGAGTGTCCTTGGGATGTTTGGCAAGTTTGTGGTGCTGAGTTTTCTACTCATGGGTCCTCTTCTGGGTCTTTCTTTGTGGTGCTGTATTCACCAAGAGCCTGGGAGGGGCTTCCCACACCCCTAGAATCACACACACACACACACACACACACACACACACGTGCATGTACACACAGGCATATACACCCAGCAGAGAGGGGCCATGGGAAGCTGAGGACCGGACTGATGCCTGCAGCTCTAACTCTATCTCTGATCCTTACTTTCTGGGTGACTTTGCTCATAGTCTCAGTTTCTACCTGAGAAACAGGGGAGCAGGGTGTGAACGTGACCTTGTTGTGATTTTCTCTGTGTGGTTTTAGGAGGAACACCAACAGAAGAGGGGTTCCCCAGCCTGTGTGACACACTGGGTGGGTCCCAAGTGCCCAACCCCGGGCACAGACACCAGGAGTCGCTGCAGCAGCCTTCCCTGTCTGGGCGCTGCTGGCCAGGTGCGAGGCTGCCTGGCTGGTGGGAGCAGCGTGCCAGGCTGGGCTCTCCGGCCTTTGATTCTTCCGATTCTGTCCCTTGCAGGCCTCGAGCCGCTCAGAGCCCCAGTTGGAGCAGCCATGACCCGCTGGACATCCCTCCAGGCCTCCAGGCCACATAAACCTGCCCCCTGCGATCCGGTGGCCTCCCGCCGGCATCTAAGTACCCCGAGCCTGGCCACCTCTGCCTGGAGGGGCCAGGAACCCGGGGCTGAGCCATCTTCTCGGCGCAGTCTCCGGGGTCCCCACAATCGCCGGCTCCCTGCCTCCTGGGCTGGGCAGAAGCGGCATCCACCATTACAGCCTCAGGCCTCAGCTCCTCAGACCCATGGTGAGGTGGTCAGCTGGAGAAGCTGTGGGGGGAGGAGGGAAGTGCGAGAAGAGGCCCCCGTGGAGCCTAGAGTCCCCCATGGCATGAGACCTTGCATTAGACAGAGTGGTTTGAATTTCACCTCTCCTGCCTTGTGGCTGTGTGGCTGTGGAGAAGTCGCTTAACCTCTCTGAATCTCCAGTCAGAGGAGAAGTAATGCTAGTGGCCACCTTCTTGGGTTTCTGAGAGGATGACCTAAGACCAGCAAATGCTGATGAGTCTGGCCTGCTTTCTCTGCAGTTTGAGGCAATGAGAAACGAGTGTCACACATGTGCCACAGCCCCAGGGATCCAGAAGCACCTGGCAGCTGAGACACACCCTGGGACGGGTTTGCAGCCTGGGTGGTCATGTGAGCTTCTCCCGCACCTGTCTCCCAGGGGTTTGAAGCAGAGGTCAGATGTCACGCTCCCCCGGGGGCTCTGGCTGCCCCTGGTCACACAGATCCGGGCTGAATGCCAGTGTCGCCTCCCCCTGGCTGTGTCACTTCCTGTTTCCCGGTCTCTGGTGGGTGCCCAGCCACCTGCCTCTGGTTCTGGCCCGGCTACCGTGGGGGCCTTCTTCTCTGGGGCCTCATTGTCTTCTGGGCATTCGAGGGCTCCCAGCCTTGTCTAGCACTGACCTTTTAGCGTGACCGGAGGAGGGGATCATGGGTGAGTGGGGAGGAATACACCTGACTCCTCAGTGCCTCGGCCAGGCCGGCCGGCCAGGGTTCTCCCCCTCCTTCCAGCCCAGCCCTGCTGAGCCAGGCTGGGGGCCTGAGCACTTGTAGCCCCGATGCTAATGGCCAGATGGCCTCAGTGCCCGCAGGGCCGGGCGGCACCGTGGCCTCCGGCCCGCAGATGCCTCAGCCTGGCACCAACAGGCCAGCCCAGAGCCAACGGGGCACTGGGGGAGGGGCGGCCGCCAGCCTGTGTGTCTGGGGGCTGAATGTGTGCTACCGGCCATGAGAGCAGCGTTTGTCCGGCCACGGGTGCTGTGCAGCGGGGCACGCCCTGAGACTTGTTGGTGTGCTTGAGTGTATGTGTGCGTGTCTGTGGCAAGTCAACCACGTGCTCCCCTGCGTGGGCCCAGGACAGTGATGCTTCTGAGCGCTCCCTATGTGCTGTCACTTGGAGCTGAGAAAGGCAGGGATAGGGAAGGCCCCTGGGCCGGGGTCAGTCAGGGACCTCTCTGGGCACTGAACTCGTGGACCCCCTCCTAGCTACTGCTGGGGACTCAGAGGACGTGGAGATGGGGTATTGGGAGTGGGTGCCCTGGGGCAGAGCCCGTGAGCGTCAGGAGGGTGTCCTCGGGGCCAGGCTGTGTCCCAGACCCTGGGCATGAGACAGCAGCGAACGAAACAGCACACCCCGCGTGTTCCGGTGGCCAGGGATCTCATAGTGGGAACGGCAGCCAAGCCAACCCCGTGCATGTCATTGCTGTTACTACCACCATTATCAGGTCACCGGTCGGTGCTTTGGGGTTACAGTGAGGACCTGGGTGAGGTGGTGCGGTCTCCCGAGGGTGCAGGAAGACCTCTGGAGATGCTCCTGTGGCATTGAAGCCAAGGACCAAAGGAGGTGAGGTGTCAGGAGGATGTCTGGGAGGAACGTCCAGGACAGGCTTGAGGAACAACGTGGAGGCGGTGGGCTGTAGCCGAGTGAGCGAGGCAGAGGCGGGAGGTGGGTTCCGAGGGGTCCCGGGCTCCGCTCACGCAGGCCTTGCAAGTGCCAGCAGGGACTCTGGCTTTGAGCGGAGGACGGACAGGCGCCCCCACCGCGGCTGCCTCTGGAGTGGGGTCGGGGCAGGAGCATCGGGGTTGGCGAGGTGGCCGCCATACTGGTCCGGGTGGGTGATGATGGGGACTCGGGCCACGGAGGCGGGAGAAGAGGCAGGATCCCAAATAGATTTTGAAGTCAGAGCCTTTGGGGAGGGACCAAGACGAGTTGAGGATGAATCCAAGGTTTTTGACCAGAGCTACTGGGAGGATGGAGTGTCACTGTTCCAAGCCGAGAGGGAGGATGAGGAGCCGGCTTAGGAGGGGAAATGGAGAGTCCGGTGATGGGTGAGTTAGGGCGAAATGTCCGCCCGCCAAGTCCGAGGGCTGGGTGGGGGCGGAAGCACGGGCCGGAGCGGCCTGCTCCGCCAGCCATGCCGTCTTCTCCATTACAGGAGACGCCCCACCCGGAGCCGGCCTGGGGGCGAGCCGGGGCCCCCCCACCCCCGGGATGACCTCGGCCGGCAGGGCCAACCCCTACAGTATCGTGTCATCAGAGGAGGACGGGCTGCACCTGGTCACCATGTCGGGCGCCAACGGCTTCGGCAACGGCAAGGTGCACACGCGGCGCAGGTGCCGAAACCGCTTCGTCAAGAAGAACGGCCAGTGCAACATTGAGTTCGCCAACATGGATGAGAAGTCGCAGCGCTACCTGGCCGACATGTTCACCACGTGCGTGGACATCCGCTGGCGCTACATGCTGCTCATCTTCTCGCTGGCCTTCCTCGCCTCCTGGCTGCTGTTCGGTGTCATCTTCTGGGTCATCGCCGTGGCCCACGGCGACCTGGAGCCGGCAGAGGGCCGCGGCCGCACGCCCTGCGTGATGCAGGTCCACGGCTTCATGGCGGCCTTCCTCTTCTCCATCGAGACGCAGACCACCATCGGCTACGGGCTGCGCTGTGTGACGGAGGAGTGCCCCGTGGCCGTCTTCATGGTGGTGGCGCAGTCCATCGTGGGCTGCATCATCGACTCCTTCATGATCGGCGCCATCATGGCCAAGATGGCTCGGCCCAAGAAGCGGGCACAGACGCTGCTGTTCAGTCACAACGCCGTGGTGGCCCTGCGCGACGGCAAGCTCTGCCTCATGTGGCGCGTGGGCAACCTGCGTAAGAGCCACATCGTGGAGGCCCACGTGCGGGCCCAGCTCATCAAGCCGAGGGTCACCGAGGAGGGCGAGTACATCCCACTGGACCAGATCGACATCGATGTCGGCTTTGACAAGGGCCTCGACCGCATCTTCCTCGTGTCACCCATCACCATCCTGCATGAGATCGACGAGGCCAGCCCGCTGTTTGGCATCAGCCGGCAGGACCTGGAGACAGATGACTTCGAGATCGTGGTCATCCTGGAGGGCATGGTGGAGGCCACGGCCATGACCACACAGGCCCGCAGCTCCTACCTGGCCAACGAGATCCTGTGGGGCCACCGCTTTGAGCCTGTCCTCTTTGAGGAGAAGAACCAGTACAAGATCGACTACGCCCACTTCCACAAGACCTACGAGGTGCCCTCCACACCCCGCTGCAGCGCCAAGGACCTGGTGGAGAACAAATTCCTGCTTCCCAGTGCCAACTCCTTCTGTTACGAGAACGAGCTGGCCTTTCTGAGCCGTGATGAGGAGGACGAGGCAGACGGAGACCAGGATGGCCGCAGCCCCCAGGCCCGGCATGACTTTGATAGACCCCAGGCCGGTGGCGGCGGCGGCGGCGGCGGCGGCGGCCTCGAGCAGCGGCCCTACAGACGGGAGTCAGAGATCTGAGCCGCCATCGGCCAACGTGCAGCATCCGCCCCGCCAGGGAGAGGCCCGGCGTCCCGCAAGGGCCCCGGGTTTGAGCAGAACGGGCCAGGTGCCCCGGTTGCAGACTCAGTAGCGTTTTAGATGTTTTATGTTTCTTCACAGTGGCCTGGCAAGGTTGGCGGGAGAGTGGGCGGCCAGTGGGCTGCCCCTGGCCTCAGGGGCCAGAGCAGGTGCAGGGACAGGGAGGTGGCCTCTCGGGGTCCAGGCCAGGAGCCGGGGGCTTCTGCCTGAGGCTAGAACTGCAGCCTGCCTGGAAACGGCTCCACAGCCACCCAGCCTCTGTGGGCGAAGGCTGGCAGGCTGCAGTGCGCCTCGCTGGTTTTTAACTTGGGGAGAAACACCAGTTTTGGCTTTCTCAACCTTAGCTTGAGTAAGACTGTTTACAAAAAAATAATAATAATAATAACACGTGATTGAAAACAATTTACTTTGTGGGGGTTATAAGAAAGGACAGTTAGAATCCCACTAGTCTGCTGAGATGGAAGCCGTCAGATGGAGGCTCCACGAGGTTCCCTGAGGCCGAACAGGCCTCTCCTCTGCGAAGGCGGGTGTGTGCCGGGCGGCGCATCCGCAAGGGCGAGCGCGGTGCTCACCCGTGGTTCTTCGTGCTCACGGGCGCGTTAGATGACGCTTGCGATAGAAAACCAAGACCATGTGAATGATCGTAATAAAAGCTTTCCAGTAGAGGTGGGGGTAGGGGCTGGGAAAAAACCAGTCTGAGCTTTTTGAGTTTGACTTTTGTACCTTAGAGGTGCGTCTCAGGGCTGGATATGGGATCTGCCTGCCGTGGAGGGTCCGCTCTCCCCCGACCCGCCAGATTTTCCTGTTTTACTTTTCTCTCCTTTTCTGCCCAGTAGCCCCCACCCCTTCCACAGTGAGGGATACTTGGAAAACGTTGGAGGAGATGGCCCCGTGGGAAGGGAGGCCGGGTTCCCAGACTACAAGGAAGCAGATCAGCCCCGTTCCCACGGGACCCCAGTGAGTCGTGCCTTAGAGACCCGGGTGGGCCAGCTCCGGTTGTTTCTGTTCTTATCGGACTCGCCCCTCCTCCCAGCCGCCCCTGACTCCACCGTGAAGTCCCCACCAGCCTGTCTGCAGAGGCTGGGCCGTCCTGGTGCTCTCCGCACACCTGGGGCAGCACGGGCCGTATGTACTCTGCTGCTGAGCGGCAGAGGAATCATCTTAGAAAAGGTGTGGCATCGTCAGCAGAGATGACTGGGGGTGGCACATGCAACCGGGCACCCTCGTCAGGAAGGGGTTTGGGGCACTGGGCTCTGTTGGCCCAGAGCAGGCCCCTGGACCAGGAGTTGCCCAGTGTGGGCTTGCTCTTGGTGGAGGACACAGATGGCAGAGATGGAGCTGGGGCCCTTTCCAGGACAGCTGAGAATGTTGTCCTCCCAAATAACCAGGCCTGGAAGGAAGTCCTTAATTAGAAAGCCCATGTGTGTCTCCCCAGCCTGCCTGTCTAAGCCACTCCAATCCGCGTCCCCCAAGACAGCCAGGCACCAAGGACTCTGGCCCAAGTGGGGAAACAGGTAGGGTGCAAGGTCACCCAGTGAGTGGGTGGGTCCTGGGAGGCAGGGAGAGGCCGGG